TCTCAAAAAGAACAATCAGGGCCTTGGAGATGGCTGAGTGGAATAAGCACTTCCCTGGCAAGTGCAAGGGCCTGAGTTCAATTCCCAGTTTCGCAAAAAACAAAACAAAACAAAACAAAACAAAACAAAAAAACAACAAACAACACTTTGAGGAATATGAAAAATTAACTAATGGTAAATGATAAGTGAGAAAAATATCAGCTATTAGAAACAGATACATATATGATAGCGATAATGAAATTAGTGCACAAAAACTACAAGATGCCCATTATTTGCAAAGTATTTTCTCAAGAATGTGAGAGAAAATACGGATGTAATTGGGAAGTGTGTTTAAGATATTTTTTAAAAGTCAAATGGAATTATTAGACCTAAAATATATTGCCTCTTGACTGAAATGTTAATGGTAGTTGAAATCACAGATTTGGCACTGAACTTCTTACTTTAGAGGTGGGCACATTTGTTCGTGTTTCCTTGTGCCTCTTGTTAAGGAAGGAATTTTCTATTCCATCATCGTGAAGATAAGCTCTTATGACAACTCTTTTGAAGAAAATATTTTGTTGCATCTGGTGTTTTGCTGTGCCAAACACTTGTGCCAGGGGCCCTGCACAGTGACACCTCACCTCAGGAATGCGATTCTTTGCAAATAATTTTATTAATAAATAGAGGAGTTTGGCAAAATTTTGTCTTTGTTTGCAAACTCTGCATCAGGAAACCAACACGACCACAGCCATCTTTCTCACACAGCCTCAGCCGTGGCCGTTTTCCAAACTCGGAGAAGGACTGAGTGTGTGAATCCGATGAGCTTTGCATGTGCTGTAGTGCAGTTGGCATCTTTCTTAAAGGTGATTGATATAGAGAATATCACCAATAAATGAAACAATAGATCAGAAAATATTTAAAATTTGGATAGTTTCTGAAAAATCCGCTTTCCAAGTATACTAGTATATCTTTCATTTAACATTTTTTTCAAAATATATTATAATTATAGGCCAGTATGCCCAAATATTAAGAGGAGAGGGACTCTTAGCTTCCTGTACAGCTCTAGTGGACAAAGAAAACAAGTCTTATTTTTAAATATAGCTATAATTTGATTAAATTGATCAGGCAGAAAGGAGGAAGATGGCTGAGACTGTGGAAAATGTTTTGCCTGGTGGTGGGTACAGGGCAAGAACTTAGACACTGGACGGAGCCTGCATAGGGGAGCTTGTCCAGCAGGAAAGGCGTGGAGGGTGACCTACGAGGAGCGCAGTGCTGATGTCTTTTGAAAACCACTTGGCCCCTGTGACTCTGGGCAACCACTAGGTAGGTTTTGATTTCCAAAATCCTGTCATTTCACAGTGTTATGTGATGTCATGCTCCGTCCTGCAGCCTTCGGGCACTGGCATGCTCTCCCACTCAGCACGTGCCCTGGACAGCTCCACACGTGTGTGTGCACGCATACCCACGTGCAGGTTTTCTCAGTGCTGAGTGGTGTTGTGTGACGAGGCTGTGTTGAGGTGGGATAAAAGGAGTAAGGGTAGGCGTAAACGAGACAAGGACAGCGCGACTCAAACGCGAAGCTTGTCCTCTGGGAGTGGTGCTCTCACTGTAATCTCGGTACTAGGGCAGCTGAGACAGAGACAGGAGGATCGCTGTGAGTTCGAGGCAGGCCTGGGCTACCTAGTGAGTTTAAAGGCAGCCTGAATTACACAGAGAGACTCTGTCTCAGAACAAAATCAAAAACAAAAACAAAATATATTTTTACGAAGACTAGATTTGGGCCTGGCAGACAGCTCAGCAGCGTAAGTGCCTGACCAGCATCTACAAGGTCCTGAGTTTGCTCTCGGTACTGCAAGACAACAAGAACAACAACACCAAAAATAAAAAAGACTGCAGATTTCACATACAGACCCTTAAACAAATTCTTAAGGTTCTCAAAAATGTAATAATTCCTTTTATGTAATAATCCTTCACCATTCCTTTTACCTGCAAATGGACCTTAGCAGGCTGTCACTTGTGAAAGGCCAACCTCCTTCCCTTGAAGAAAGGCCTTGGTTTTCCAACCCAAGTCCCTATAAATACACGCGCCCTGAAAATGAGGCTGCGGCTGGAGACCTGGGAGCTGCGCACGAGGAGCACCGGGCCCTCCCCTAGGGGGCGCTGTGGCTTCCCGCGTGCCCTTTCCTGCTTCATCCAAACGCAGGTGAGGACCGGCCACCACGAGGGGGCGACACGAGGCTCTGAGTTGCCATGGCGTCCCGGATGGCCGGCTCCCTGCGCCTGCTCCTCTGGCTGCTGCTTCTCTGGCCCCAGCTTGGCGCGGACCCCGGGGATGCAGTGACGCCGCCCTCCGCACGTGGTCCCCCTTCCCCTAAGTCCGAGACCCTCATGGAAGAAGCTACCCAGAAACCAGAGGTCCTTCCCAGAGGTGAGCTCCCTGTCTGTGCTCTAGAGGGGGCTTGTGGGAGAGCGCAGCTCAGGGAGGATGGGCCGGGGTGGGCGCTGATGTCGGCGTGCGGGGGCTGTCTTAGGGACACAGAGGCGCCTGGGCCTCCAAAAGGGGACATTGTGGGGCTGGGCCTTGAACCCTTTCCCTCACTGTCCTGCTGCAGGCTGTGGCCAGCGGAGGATAATCGGGGGACAGCCAGCACCAGAGCGGAAGTGGCCCTGGCAGGTCAGCCTGCAGGTCCGGGGCAGACACGTGTGTGGGGGCTCTCTTATCAGCAGCTGGTGGGTGATGACCGCAGCCCACTGCATATTAGAGTAAGTGTTTAGGGGCCCTGGGCCAGATGCTTGTGTTTCCAAGTTTCCTCTTCTTCAACTTCTGAATTTGGTGACAGCCCCTGGTAGGGTGAGCTCTGAGAATTTGCATTTCTAACGTGTTCCAGGACAACAGTCAGCCTCTGTGTGGGTATCCAGGGGAGGAGAAGGCTGAAAGGGCTGAGGACCCAGCGAGTGTGGGCAGGCTGGAGCACCTGGAGGGGTGGCAGGGAGGTGTCTAGACCTCAGGCTCCTTCTGCAGCATTGTGGACTACACGGTGAAGCTTGGAGACACACACCTGAAGCATGAAGCCCCAGGGGCTGTTGCAGTTCCTGTTAAAGACATTGTTGTGCACCAGAAATTCACCCGCATTGGAGGACTCTACAACGACATAGCGCTGGTGCTGCTGTCCTTCCCTGTGAAGTATACCACGCACATCCAGCCCGTGTGCCTCCCCACCAACGCCTTGCAGTTAGCAGCTGGTACACAGTGCTGGGTGACTGGATGGGGCAAAACACGTGAAGACGGTGAGACAATAGCCTGAAAGGAGGCCACCCAGTGCCCTGGGTGTGGTCCACACCTAAGGGGAGGCATGTTTTCTAGCAGGACGTAGGGAGCAACTGAACCATTCTATGGGAATTTGTATTGGATTCTCAGGCTTGGGGGATGTATGCAGGGTGCATTTTAGCTCAGGTAATGAGCTGTCCCTCAGCTGAAGCTGTCCCTCCCCAGAAGCACCAGCCTCAGTAGACAGGGCACTTCCTGTTTGTCAGAAGAGCAGGGACAATCCTGGGTGGGACTCTCGGGTCTCCTTCATTTGGTCCTTCTGGACCTCACGTGGCTGTGGGTCTGTGACGCTGCCCTGATACTCAGGACACCCTGTCACCCCTCCTTGTGGTACTTGGTGACACCTGCTTGGTCATTCTTTCCCAGACTGGCCACACTTTCTTCCTTCCCCTGGGCTGCTCTTATTTCTGCTGTCTTGGTTTAGGGCTTACACGCAGGTGTGGCTTGGGACTCACTCCCTCCAGGGTCAGGTGGGGACAGGAGCCAATGGGAGGAGGATCCCTGTGTGGGGACCCAGAGCAGGTCGCATTGAGACCCAGAGCAGGTCACAGCCACTCTAGTGCTGCAGAAGTCACCCACACCCGCTCATCCCTAATCCTCTTTCTGTAGATAAGCCGGAAAACGAACCAACTGAACTTCAGGAGGCTGATGTGAACATAGTTGAATATCGCAGCTGTAACAAGATCCTCAAGAAAGCGCTGAAGGCGATCCAGAACCCGGTTGATAAAGGAGGGCTTTGTGCTTATGTTGACGGAAAAGATTCCTGCCAGGTCAGTGCCAGGGCCCTTGGTGAGCTTCACTGCCCTTGATCCCTTGGCAGTTGGCCCTGGCTTATCCCAGGCACTCCATTTACCTGTATTCAGGTGATGGGGTAGAAAGATTGACAGCCACAGAGCTCCTGGCTGGCCCGGTGCCATGGCTCCTAGGGGTGGTCCACTGCACTGGTCCAGCAGATGTTGTGTGCACAGAGGCAGTGGGTGTTGGTGGTGGGGAGCTGGGGCTCCTGTTTAAAGCCCCCTATTTGGTGCAGGCCCTGCCCTTGGGTGAGCACTTTAGTCTTTGTTGTCTTATTACCTTGGGCCCATTATCTTTTTTTTTTTTT